AGTGAAAAAAGGTCGAGAGGGAGGGGGGAACAGAAGTGTTTCCAATATGTAAATGAGACAGACACAAAGGTAGAGAAAAGGTGAGATGGGTACTGTGAAATATTCGAGTATGACATGCAGTGGGGTGATGGTAGTTTGAAGTGAGAAGTCAACTGCCGGTTAATAGACTTTTTTGCCGTTTGAGTAAACGTTGCCCAGGGTGCACCACATGGAGGTAGGTCTATCACATACCTCACATTCAGAATATAGTTTCATGGATAATAATAATTAGCCAGAAAATAACGTCACAACATTTTACCATACAAGTTCCAGTGCTACTGAAATATTGTGAGGTGTCATTAATCTTCCTTTACCCTAGTCTATAATTATTAAAATAAAGCAAGCCGACCGTTTTCTTTACCAAGTTTTAGCATGTTTTAATTTAATTTAACGCTTATAATTGCATTTTCAAATGATATTTGAAACAGTTCATTAAGGAACAAATACATATCAAAATTAACGTATGGACTTAAATGAAGTTATTAGCAGTTTACGTTTATCTTAATTTTTATCAGTGCTTGTATATTTTTCAGCAATTCGCATCCTTAAGATGGAAATATGAGGTAATTCCTACTATTAATGACGCTTTAAATTTTGTAAATAATTTTAATTAAATAATCACAGCTTAATAATGCAAATTGTTATTTCAGTCAATTTTACAATCGAATTCATTGATGTCTTCAAGATGATCGATTTATTTGCTTGTTTAACTGATGTCGTAATTGAAATGAGTTCCGTATTGTGACTTCTTGCTAATTATTAAATAAGTGCCAACCCCAATCGCTCACTTAACTCTCCCTATCAGATGCGCTAATTTAACAACTTGACATCATTTGCTCATTGTGCTAATCATGTGCTCTAATCCACGAGGAATTTGTCGCTTATTGCAGTAAGCAAATGACGCACCTTCTCCAAACATCCTTGAAGGTGCGTATGTGTGTTGACAGCTGTTTTGTCCTGCATGGCCTTTTCCGTTGGCGTCTCCTGACACATACACACGCACACTCACCACTCTCCCCCTCTCTCTCCCTCTAAAACTGTTCCCATCCCAGCCCTGAGCGGCAAGTTCTTTTGATTCACAGAAAGGCTCATACAAACACCAATCCTTATACAATTCTTCCAAATTAGGCAGGGGTGTCAGAAACAACACTCGCATTCCCTCCACAAGCGCCTGCAAACAAACATTTCACACATTTCCAAATACACATAGTTCTGCCTCTCTCAAATTTCAGGCCAACTGGATAGAAAAGGGCATATCTAGTATTATTAATACTGATTTATTACCAGGATTCAATGATTTCGCGTAAATTTGAATGTTTTGAAAATGTGCCAAGTCTCTAATTCATTTAAAGGAGGGTGGCATTTAGTCTAGTGCCGTTTGTAATTCTTTCAGGAAAGGTTGCATTTTCCTAGTTTTACTTTTACAGTTCAAATTCTATCATTTATTTATATCAAATGGCAGGCGTTTTGAAAGTTATCATTAGCCCTTTAGCTGACTTCAGGGCTACACAGTGAGGAGGAGGAACATCAAAGTGACAAAGGGTCGAGAGGGGGGGGGGACAGAAGTGTTTCAAAGATGTAAAAGAGGCAGACACAAAGGTAGAAAAAAGGTGAGGTGAGTACTGTAGAAGCAGTCATATATGGCATACAGTGGGGTGATGGCAGTTTGAAGTGAGAAGTCAATTGCCAGTTGATAGACTTTTGCCGTATGGGTATACGTTGCCTAGAGTGCACCACATGGAGGTAAGTCTATCGCGCACCCCATGGAATTATTCATTTACTTATTTCAAATGGCAGGCTTTATGATATTTATCATTAGCCCTTAAACTTTGACTTCAGCTTAGGCAGTTAATTAATAGCAGTTCATTAGCAGTCTTCTTGCTTAACAGTATCTCTGGCTTTCCGTCCTTGTCTTTAGAGCTGGATTACATTTATAGCGGTTAATTAATAGCAGTTCATTAGCAGTCTTCTTGCTTCCCCGTACTCTGCTTTCAGCTCATTAGCTGTCTTCTTGCTTCCCAGTATCTCTGGCTTTCTTGCTTGTCTTTAGAGCTGGACACCGAATCAGGTGGGTCTTCCTTGTCTTTAGGGCTGGACACCGAATCAGGTGGGTCTTCCTGTCTTTAGGGCTGGACACCGAATCAGGTGGGTCTTCTGTGTCTTTAGGGCTGGACACCGAATCAGGTGGGTCTTCTCGTTTCCTCATGTAGGTTACATAGAGGGCATGTGGGTTGGAGTGTTTACTCCCAATCTGTGAAGGTGTTTTGCCAGGCAACCGTTTCCTCCTGTAGGTTACATAGAGGGCATGTGGGTTTAGTGAAGGCTACATAGAGGGCATGTGGGTTGAGTGTATTCTCCCAATATAGAGGGCATGTGTTATAGGCAATCGTGTTCGGTACGTAGTCTAAACTCATCAACGGGGCAATAGTGTCCTGTACGTAGTCTAAACTCAGCAACGGCTTCGATCCTTGGCCAGCCGGCTATATCGGAGAGTGCCACTGTCCACTGTTTCTCCTTTGGGGCTATATCGGAGAGTGCCACTGTCCACTGTTTCTCCTTTCCGAGCTTTAAGTTCGTTGTACCTTGAGGTCTTGAATTCTCTCTGATCAAGGCCTTCATTGTGTGGAAAGACATCGGCCGGTTTCGAGCTTTAATTTCGTTGCACGGAGGTCTGGAATTCTCTCCTGATTAAGGCCTCCATTGTGTCCTTGACATGAATTCTCTCCTGATTAAGGCCTTCATTGTGTGGACTGTCCGATACGTAGTCTAAACTCAGCAACGGCTTCGATTCTCGCCAGCCGGGTATGTCGGAGAGTGCCACTGTCCACTATTTCTCCTAGCTATATCGAAGAGTGCCACTGTCCACTGTTTCTGATTCTTGGCTAGTCGGCTATGTCGGAGAGTGCCACTGTCCACTGTTTCTCTTTTGTTCGAGCTTTGAGTTCGTTGGTAAGGAAATTCTCTTTTGATTAAGGTCTTCATTGTGTGGAAAGACATCGGCCGGTCTATCCCTTTTTACCAGGCGGTCCATGCATTGCAAAATCGGTGTCCCCTTCTTAGCAAGTGTGTCAGAAATCTCATTGCCTTTAATGCCATAGTGACCAGGAATCCATTATATCAATGTCTGATAATGGATTCATGGGTAGAGAGAGGCTCTCATTGCCACTTTTTACCGAGTGTGTCAGAAATCTCATTGCCTTTAATGCCATAGTGACCAGGAATCCATTATATCAATGTCTGATAATGGATTCATGGGTAGAGAGAGGCACCTTTAATGCCATGGTGACCAGGAATCCATTGTAGGACCACTGTTTTGTTTTTCTCGTCTCAGCAGCTCATAGAGTTTTCTACATTCCTTTATCTCACTTGGGTGGCTTTCTGTTCCCAATTGAGTTTATTGCTGACTGTGAGTCTGAAAGTATCAAATTGAGTTTATGCTGACTGTGAGTCCGAAAGTATCACCGCTTGAGTTTCTCGCTGACTGTGAGTCCAAAAGTATCGCTTTTGCTGACTATGAGTCCGAAAGTATCACCGCTTTGGTGAATATCGTATCCAGGCAACATAATTGTCATGGTGCTATCCTAATGGCCTCTATTTCTCCTTCAAAAGCGAATGCTATCTTAATGGCCTCTATTTCTCCTTCAAAAGCGGTTCTATTGTGTCCCGCTCCCAATGGAAATATATATATATATAAAATGTGTCCAAAAATGCATGGCAAAGTTTTGTGGTCTGACAAGAATTTAAAGTGTCAACGTCAGACAAGTTTAAGTAATCTCGTTACTCAAGCAATGACAGGGACATTTTTCCCGATTTGTTCATAGCTCTTTTCTGGTTTGCTTCAGGAAACAAGGTGCATGAGCCATCTTGAAAGACACGCCTGTGAAACCACTACCCCACCACCCTGACTTTAAAGACTTGTGGCATTCACTGACAGAAAATTTGGATCATAATGAGATAGAAGCATATCTGATAACAGTATCCATTTCAGTTTCTCAAACCCTTCTTCATGGTCAATAAAACAAATGTCAGACGATGGCTTTCAGGAGGAGATGGTTAAACAATCCACGAACTTCAAGCGAGGAGGGTAAGCATTTGCAGGAGTTACTAATCAAGGAAGAGTGTAGATATCAGCTAAAAGTGTTGTTTGTAATAGCTCTATTTAGCCCATTCAAAATAGGAAGTTGTGTTCCCTAGTTCACTAATCTTCCTTTTGGGGAATATCAACGGACTAGTTTCACCCCCCGAATTGAAGCCTAATAAATTCCATTGGACCTCGAAGCATGGCAGATATTCACACATTCTTATTTAATCTCTCACAGGCAAATGAGCCACTGATAAATTAAACGTCGCCAAAGTTACGCCACTGTTAAGATTTACAAAATGAAGAAGGTGATGGATATCCTCTAAAGCTGAATTCAGATCAATAATAAATTGACTTCTAAACGAATGCAATCCATTTAGAATGAGACGCAGAGAAGAGAAAATACGTTTTGCATGTTTTTTTTCGGGCACTAAGTCGATTTCATTTCATACATCAACCTAGGCTGTCACTGAAAACTGGAGAAAGACGTTTCGTCCTTTCTGTCATCGCCAACATTTCAATATCAGTCCAATTCAAACTGGTTCGATGGAATTCCTCTTTCAATTTTCACTTCCACTTTTGACTTTCTACGAGATAGTTGTGGTTTCCTTGGTCGGATTCATGAATGGCTTTTCGGAAAAGAAGCGTGTGATCTTCTTTACTCCCTCGAATTCATTTAACGGATTGTAACCAAGATGATCCAAATCAGGTTGGTTGGTTGTGAAGCTTCTCCCATCACTAAGCATCAAGGCCACATGATTTCTCCTAATGAGACTTTTGTTTTTATTGGTTGGACTAAAAATACACACGGACTATTTCGAACAATCGTTTGGATAGGCCGCTTCAATAACAAGAGAAGATATTTAAGAAATTAAATGTCTTTTTACTCCTTGGAGAATTTCCCATAATATCACAATAAATATATGGGAATTGGCAAATTTAGTATAAATATAGTATTATTCAATATTTGAAAATAATTTTATTTAATGTGGGATTTTATTTTCATTTAAATAAAGTGAGTTAAAAGCAGAATTAAAACAGAATTCTGTTGGTTTGAACGCTTTGTGCCAAGGCAAGCTAAAAGCTAAATATGTTAAATGAATCCGATCAGTCACATTCAAATGTCAAATTAAAGCTGCCAATGTTTGGCATGAGTTTGGGGAAATTATTTGCTTTAGTTAATCGGTTCAACAGTGTTGAAATGTGAATATTTAATGAAATAAAAAGATAAATGCAGATAAATTTTTCTTTCGGGTGCGATAAACAAAAGGACAATAAAACAGAAAAAAATTAAAAATTAAAGATTAAAAAAATGGTGAAAGAAGCATACTTCAATAAATCCTTCCATTAGTTGAAAATCAAACTTTGCTTTGTTAGTGAAATCATTTATTCTCGTATTTATTAATAAATATGACATTAAACCGGATTTCAGTGATGGAACACGCTCGCATGATCATCTCTCATAAATAATAAATAATTAAATA